CGGTGGCTTAAAACTCATGCCAGGTGCATGTGCATGCATGACCAATATCCTGAGAGGAGAATGGAGGAGAAGGGATTGCGGTGTGGCCAACCCCCTGGGGGTGATTTTTGCTTTCTGTCTCTCTGGTGAGTGCACATGCCCTATAACAAAAATCTCTCTAAAAAAAGAGAAAAAGAAAAAATACATATAATTTTATATAGTATTATTTTATGGAGTGTTGCAGTGACTATATTTACTCAATATTTATTGAGCATCTCCTAAGTGCCACACACTAATGTAGGTGGCAGGAACACAGCAGTAAACTAAGCAGATATACTCCTAGTCTTCATGGAATTTGCGTCATAGATGGACATTCATCCACACCCACCCATGCTTCTGGTCACTACCTGAGACAATTGTATATGGGTATTTATCTCTAACTTTCTCTCACCTCAGTTTTCTTTTTAACTGGGGGAAAAGAAAAGCTTTTTAAGCTTACCTTTTTTTTTTCCTTTTTTTTAAAAAGAATTATTTTATTTAACTTTATTTAATTTGACCGGAGAGAGACAGAGCGAGAGACAGAAAGTGAGAAAGCAAGCCACCAGGTCCGGGACTCGAACCGCAGCCACTCACGTGGGAGTTCAGCATCCTTAACCACATGCCACCTGCTGGCACTTAAGTTTATTTTTCATATCATTGCTGGGAGAAACTTTGGCTTCAAGCACTATTGGTTGTCCTTTCGTTTCTGGCCTTTAATCACCAATCTCCATCCCTCCTCGGTGGAGGCAAAGAGCCCAAACCATGTGGGACTTGGCATTTTCTTTGGTTTCCAGTCGCCAATCTGCAGCTTGAGGTATGTGGAGCTGTCCCCTGACTTGTGTGAGTGGTGCTGACATAGTCTTTCCAGATGTTGTGACTTTGATTTGGTCAGAAGGATGATTGTAAAATCAGAAATGACACAGCCATCTTTTCCTAAAAGCCTAGGGTTTACAGTTTCTGGAGTGGATTGTCTGACCATGCCACAGCACAGAAGGACTGAGCATCGATTTTATGTGAGGCCGAGAGCTTTATGTACATTGCCTCACTTAACCCTCGCAATAGTGTTGAGCGGTATACTCAGTTCCCCTCTACCAGCTCTGAAAGGTCAAAACATTTCTCCAAGCTTATATATTTAGCAAGTGGCAGAACTTCCTTTTCTCATGTAGAAGATGAGGGGTTAGATTAGTTATGATTTCCTTTCCAGGTCTGTTTGAGTCTATGGTTACAGGTGGACTACTGAGGATGGGAATTAGAATTCCCTTAAGAGTTAATAGAGACCAAACTTGAATATGACACAATTCCAAGCACTCTGTATGGATTATCTCACTTAATCTCCACAACATCCCCTGAGGTGGGCACTATTTTCATCCTATTTCACACATGAGGAGACCAGGAGTCAGAGACATTTGTAACTAGAGAGTAACACATTGGAGCATTTAAGCCAGCTGGCCACCTCAAAGCTCCTTGCTTAATCATTGCACGTACTTCCTCTGAAGGAACTGACCGGTGAGTAGGTGGAGAGGACAAAGAGAATTTCAAATAGGAAAAAAGTAAAGTATTGAGTTATGTGAAAAGTCATGACATATTGTTCTATGTTTTTCTATGCAAAACTGCATCAGGACCTCCCCAACAACCCCAATATTATGAAAAATTTAACTTCTAATGTTACTTACAGATTCTATGAAAAATTATAGGTTCATTTATCTGTCTATCCACAGCATTTAACACTGCTGAGCACATGACTAATAAATGTTTGATGAATAAATTAAGGAATCAAGAGCAACCGTCTTGGGACCAGCAGTTGGCATAATGGCTATGTCGCTGGACTCCCACATAGTCAACCACGGTTCGAGTCCTGGACCCGGTGGCATAAATTCATGCCGGGCGCATGTGCGTGCGTGTCCAAGATCCCGAGAGGAGAATGGAGGAGAAGGGATTGTGGTGTGGCCATCCCCCCTGGGGGGGGGGTGATTTCTCACTTTCTGTCTCTCTGTCTATCTCTGTCTTTCTGGTGAGCGCACGCGCCCTATAGCAAAAACCTTTCAAGAAAAAAAAAGAGCAAAGAGCAACCTTCTTCACTTTCTGCATTCTCCAACACTGCTTGCTTACTTTTTCATTTATTTTTGTGAATGCCCAATCCCCAATAGAAAATATTAGCCAAGAGACTTAAACATATAGCCATTTTTTTTTTTTTTTGTAAGTCAAGAGAACTAACACTAAGTGCCCTTATAAATAAAGATCAAAGGAGATTTTCCAGTATTGGGGAAAATGAAGTATTTCCACCTTCTCTGGCGCCCTCTTGTGCTTTGCAGCTGCAACTAATCAAAAGTGCAGGTGCTTTAGGCGTTGAGGGTTGTGAAACTGAATCTGGATTTTTTTTCCTGCAGTGTACACACACGTGCACATGCGCAGTTTCGTGCATGCATGCACACACACACACACACACCCTTACAAGCTGACTCGTTTTCCTTCTCTGAATGATTCCCTACTCAGAGCTGTCAGGGATTGGAAACGCCTCCGCATTCTGGGTTTCCTCAGTCTCCACTAGACTGTGATTAACCTTATCAGCTTCATTTTCCTTCCACTCCTGGTCCTTGGGATTCACACACCCTATCAAATGTGTTTATGGAAGTGTGTCTTACACGCATTCTCAGGCAAGATTGCTCCCATTTCCACCTCTCCCCGCCCCTGCCCTCTGTCTCCAGGGCCCTGAATCCCTTGAGAATTCGAAGACACAGGAAATTCTCGTTGGAAGAAGGAAGTATACCAGTTTTCCTACCACTTTTTCTTTATGCAAAGGGGTCATCCAAGCAGTGTTGCTTATTCTTCAATGTCTTGGAGAGCTTTCGTCTCCTCCCTTAGTGAAACAGCAAGGAAAGTTTGGCGAGGTCCTCGGGGAAGTCATGGCATATTTTTCTATGCAAAAATGTGCCATGACTTTCCCGATCACCCAATAAGTCTCTAGAATCTGACCAGAACTTTTTCCACCAAATTCAACGTCTCAGTAACCAACCAGATATCTTACTCGTGCTAATTCATTTATAGCATCATGGGCTTACCCTAGCAGGACCGGGATTGGATTGAGCATTGTCTGAGTAGTCCTTACTGGAGTGCCACTAAGCCAGCCTCTCTTCCTCGCTTTTACACATCATCCATTTAGTGTGTCTCCCTTAGTTACCCAAGCTGAGTGCCATGTCTGCCTGTCTTTCTTTTCTTTCAGGAAGTGTTCAGAACAAGCTCTGCAAAATGGTTAGACACTAAGGGAGGCAAAACACGTGATCACGCTGTCAGCTCACCGTGGGAGCATAGTTCGCCCTCAGCCTACCCCTGCCCCACCCAGCCAAAGTCTAGCTCTCAGGCTTTCACTACACTTTTAAATCATCCCTGAAAGTAAAAACCTGTGTGGGAGTGCCTGATGGGCTGAATTTTCATACACAGGGACTTCTCAAAGTTTGAGGGAAAAGGGTATTAAAATACATGTTTATTTTGGTGAAAAAACACATTTTTTTGGGTAGTACACGTTCCATGAATTTTTTTTTTAAGTTTTGCAATAGTGCATGTGTGCTCGTGGAAGAGGAGACAGATACAGGGAGAGGGAAAGTGAGAAATCTTCCCCCAGAAGGGATGGCCATACCACAATCCCGTCTCTTCCATTCTCCTCCTGGGATTTTGGGCACACACATAGGCACATGAGTGCCATGTGATTTTTAAGCCACCAGGTCGGGACTCACACAACTGTTGGCCACGTGGGAGTCTAGTGCTGCAATCACCAGGTCACCTACTGTCCCCTTCCATGAAATTTTTGGAAGACTTCTTGTTCAACATAATTATCCCTAAGGAGAATAATTGGGACAGGGAATGTATGTGCCGTTTGGCTTCTAGACTAGGAGGCAGGGCCCCAAATGACCAATGTGCAGGATACAATCTATCCCTATTCAGCTCTATTTGAATTCCCGCTTGTCACTCTAACCCTGGTCCAGAATGCCTAAGATCCAGCACAGTGCAATGTAGAAAGTTGTGTTCAAGAGACCAGCAGATGATGTAATGGTTACGTTGCTGGACTCCCATGTAATTGACCAGTTTGAGTCCTGGACCCAGCAATTTAAAATTCATGCTGGGTGTGTGTGTGTGCATGCCCCAAATCCCAAGAGAACCGAATGAGAAGGGATTGCAGGTGGCCATCCCAAGGGGTGTGTGTGTGTGTGTGTGTGTGTGTAGGGGGTGATTTCTTGTTTTCTGTCTCTCTTTTCCTGGTGAGTGTATAGCGTCGTATAGCAAAGCTAAAAAAATTTTTAAAAATTTTAAGAAGAAAGCTGTGTTGAGAACGCCCAATCTGTGCTATGGGGCAAGTACGATGGGATGAGTTGTGGAAGGTTACCCAGGCTCAACTCCAGCAGATCCAAGTGGGCCCAGATCTGGGCAGGGAAACCAGTTATTCTGGTGAGATAGGTCTATACTTGGGTATCAACAGCAGGTAGGATTACAGGATTTAGTGGTTTATCTGGAATGTAGAAAGGAAAGGGGTCAGTCGGGGAGAAAGACGCTCTTGCTCTCTGACTTGTCAGAGGAGGGGTGTGGGTGTCTGTGCATGTGTGGACAGTGACACCCAAGCGAGTCCAGAATTAGGTCTGTTTTATTCCTGTCTCGGTGCTTGAGCGGGTGGAGTTAGGTGTTCCATATGGACAACGTGAGATGACGACCTTCAAACCACAATTGCAATCGCCCTTTGGGAGTTCACAGAATCAGGTCTGGGCTGGCCATTGGCTGGGGCCTGGGGGAGCTGAGCCCAGGCGGTCGTCCTGGGCAAGCCGACTTTGAGGAGTGGCTTCCGAGGTTGACACCCTGCCCCGCGCCGCGCACGTGCTCCGGCACGCACTTTCGGCGCAGGGGCGGGTCCCTCGGGCGCTCTCCAGGCCCCGCCCCTGTAGGCGGGGCGAGACCGCGGCTGGGCGGAGTCACCCGGAAGACCGAGCCGGGTAGGCGGGCTAGGCAGCCTCGGAGCCCCCCGCCCCGGGGAGGGCCAGCCGAACCGAAGGGGCTGCCTGCATGCGGGGGCCCGCGGCGCTGGGCGGGGCGGCCGCTGTGCTGGTGGCCGCTCTGCTCCTGCTGGGGCGTGAGGACGTGGGGGGGGGGACCGGCCCCAGGTAACCCCTCCGGGTGGGGACCGAGTAGGGAAGAGGTCCCGTGGTGCCAGCAGCTGTGGTCCTTGGGCGCACCCTCCGGCTCGGGCCCCTTCCGTGGGCTGGTTGGCTGCGAGGCCGGGGATCCCCAAGGCGCCGCGCCCTGGTGACGCAGGACCGTGGGGAGAAACAGGCCTTACTCCCCGGGGTCTGCGCCCTGCCTTCATCCTAAACGCAGCCTCTGTCATGTTATTTCCCCAGCATGGCCGAGACCGAGGCGCTGCCGAAGCTTCGGGAAGACTTCAGGATGCAGAAGAAATCCGTCTTTATTCTCGGCGCCAGCGGAGAAACCGGCAGAGTGCTCTTAAAAGAAATCCTGGAACAGAGCCTGTTCTCCAAAGTCACGCTCATTGGCCGGAGGAAGCTCACCTTCGACGAGGAAGCTTATAAAAACGTGGTGGGTACTTGGACTGGCACTCCAAATGCTCCAAACGGTGTCCCCAGTGAGTCCGCCAGGGAAGCGGTATTTCAGGCCTAACAGCTGAACGTTGCGCGGCCAGTGGTGGGGACAGCAAGAGTGGGCTGCAGGCCAGCTCGGCTCAGCCTCACGGTGTGCTTATGGCAAAGCTCACCTCTCCATGTGCTATAGAACCCAGTGAAGTTGGGCCTAGGTTGGAACGGGGGCGAACCTGCCCTGCCTGACTTCCCAAGTCATCCTAAATGGAATAGTCCCTTCACTGTACGTGACATTTTCATGGTTAAGCAGATGACATAAGCAGACTTCAAAAAGGTTGTGAAAAATGGAATTGAAGTATGAGGTTTTTTTGGTGGGAAAATATTTTGAAACCCATGCGTAATTTTTTTCATAATATGCATTTTCTATGTACTGTTTGAAGCCCCGGGGTATGCTGGATTCCATCTGGCGATAACCCCCTCTGTATTCCATGTCGGAGCTTCATGGAGACTTTTTCCTCCATTTAAACTGAGTTATCCTTAAACGGCAGCAAATTAAACAATACAGTGACTCTGAGCTATCACAGCTACTGGGTTTTGACCCCAGGCATTTCACAGGAAGACCCTTCTGAGTAACCACCCGACTTACCAATAGGTGGTCTTGCGTCCTGCCAGTCCACATCCCGGTCATTTTGTGAATGTTTGCATTGTCAGAACTTGCCTGTTTAAAACAGAGGTCTTGGTTTCGGGTTAGGGAGGTAACATAGGGTCTTCACAGTCTAGTTTTATGGGGCCCGTTAGATAGTCCTGATAATTAGAACCTGAAATGTGTATCTGTGCTTTTAAGTCCAGTTTTGGTGGCGTATCTTTTGACCAGGCACTTTGTGAAAACCTGGTTTTCTGGAGCATTGTGTACACTGCCAGGCAAGTTCTTCGGAAAGAGTCGATGGTAGGGAAGCGAGCCAGCATTTTGCTTTAATTCCTGGATAGTGGAACTTCTCGATTTTTCTCTTTTAAATTTCACAGTCAACTTAAAAAGTTAGCTGGAGATTCTCAGATATCAGCGTGCAGGAGAATTACCATGGGTGCTTGTTAAAAGTGTAGACTGGGATTCAGAAGTGTCGGCACAGGACACGGGAAGACACCGTTTTACCTCCTCCCTCCCCAGCAGGTTCATGGAGTATACTAAATAAAGGATTATTACTCACTTTTTTTTTTTTTTAAGAATTATTTTATTGGGACCAGCAGTTAATGTAATGGCTGTGTCGCTGGATTCCCATGTGGTTGACCACAGTTCAAGTCTCAGATCTGGTGGCTTAAACTCACGCCGGGTGAATGTGCGAGTGTGTCCAAGATCTCGAGAGGAGAATGGAGGAGAAGGGATTGCCGTGTGGCCATCCCCACTGGGGGATGATTTCTTTCTTTCTGTCTCCCTGTCTCTCTCTGTCTTTCTGGCAAGTGCACGCACCCTATAGCAGAAACCTCTCCAAAAAGAAAAAAAATTATTTTATTTAACTTTTTTTAAAAAAATTTTGACCAGAGAGAGACAGAGAAAGAGAGAAAGTGAGAAAGAAGCCGCCAGGTCCGGGAGTCAAACTGTGGTCAGCCATGTGGAAGTCCAGAGCCATTAATCACCGTGCCACCTGCTGCCCCCCCCCCTACGTTTTTTGTTTTTTCTTTTTTCTTTTAAAGAATTACTTATTTGGGAACTGGCAGATGGCGTAATGGTTACATTGCTGGACTCCTGTGTAATAGACCACAGTTCTAGTCCTGGACTCGGTGACTTAAAACTCACTCCAGGAGCATGTGTATGTATGCCCAAGGTCCTGAGAGGAGAATGGAGGAGAAGGGATTGTGGCATGGCCTTCCCCTTGGAAGGAAGATTTCTCACTTTCTGTTTCTATGTTTCTCTGTCTCTCTAGTGAGCACTCATACTCTATACCAAAAATCTTTCTTTTAAAAATAAATAATTATTTAAGGATTTTTATTTATTATTATTATTTTATTTTGACCAGAGGGAAAGAAGGAACGTGAGAAAGCAACCCGCCAGGTCCAGGATCCAAACCGTGGTCAGCCACGTGGGAGTCATGTGCCTCAGCCCTCATATCACCTGCCAGCCTCCAATTACCCACATTTTAACAGCTGAAAAAAGTTGAAGTGTATGCTCAGTAACGTGTCCACAGTACATGCCTAGTAAATAGTAGACCCAACATTTTAACCGTGGTTCCTTGAGATTCCAGTCCCTACATTCATACGTCAGTGGTCTCCTTCTTAGTAAGCTACAGGTAGAAAAAAGTTATCATTGAACCTGACTTTAGACCTATGGATCACCCATGGGGCCAGGCAGTGGTGCAGCAGTAGCACAGCTGGACCCACACTGGAAAGGTCCTGGATTTACATCCCAGGAACTTCCTCATCTCTGGGTGTGTACACATGCCTGGGATCTGGGCTGGCTAAGACGGAGGGTGGGTCATGGCATGAAGACCTCATTATAGGTGCCTGTCTCTCTCTTTTTTGTTTCTTTAGATTTTTGCCATAGGGTACATGTTCTCACCAAAGAGAGACAGAGAGGGAAAGTGAGAAATCATGCCCCCCCCCCCAGAATGGATGGCCATACCTCAGTCCCTTTTCCTCCATTCCCCTCTCAGGGTCTTGGGCACACATGCACACATGTCTGGAGTGATTTTCAAGCTGTCAGATCTGGGACTTGAGCTATTGCTGGCCATGTGGGAGTCCAACGCCTTAACCACCATGCCACCTGCTGGAAAGGATAAATAAAAGGAGTCTGGATCACCTCTATTCTAGTTACATGTGCCATGGATATATATGCGTGTGCTGATTTTTCAATACAGAGTAATTGGATCTTGATGTAAGAAGATGAATTTGCAAAGTTGTTGTTATGTGAGCAAACCCTTCAGTAATGGTCGTTAATTTATTCCTCAAATCTACAGAACCTTTTTTTTTTTTTTAAGTAACATGCAGTTATATACACTTATGTCTTTGTCTAGAATCAAGAAATAGTGGACTTTGAAAAGCTGGACGACTATGCTTCTGTCTTTCAAGGTCACGACGTTGGATTCTGTTGCCTGGGTACCACGAGAAAAAAAGCTGGGGCGGTAAGGAAGGAATATACCCCTTTTTCCTGTTTCCTGGTCAGTTACATCAAGGATTCCTTTCTTGTTCCTCTCTTCCTTGGTGTCTGTGGCAGTGCTTAAATGTACAGAAGCTCTGGTTAAGATTCCATATGGGGCCAGCAGGTGGCATAGTGGGTAAGGCACTGGACTCCCACATAGCTTGACTGTGGTTCAAGTTCCCGACCTGGTAGCTTGAAACACACACCAGGCACATGTATATACGTGCTTGTCCAAAGTCCTGAGAAGAGAATGGAAGAGAGAGAATTGCAGCATGGCCATCCCCCAGGGGTGATTTCTCACTTTCTCTCTTTCTGGCAAGCGCATGGAACCTATAGCAAAAAACTCAGGAAAAAAAAAATTCACATGCTCCCCTAACCTTTGCTGTACTTTAAATAGCACTAGTAAGTTCACCCTTCCTTCAATGTAATCCTTGAATTCCGGCCTCTCTGCCGTAGACATCACGGATACTTAGATCATTTTGCCCATTACACATTGGCTATCATATCACTACATTTCCTGACGAAGGCAAATCATCACACCTGAGGATAAGTAATTGGCTCATACTTTGAGCTGTGTGCTTTTTTTCCCCCTTAATAAACGTTTTTAACTTGAAGTATTCTCTCTCCCTCGAGTGATGTGCTTCAAACTGTTTTCACGCCAAGCTTTAAACTTCTGGGATGGAACATCAGAACCCAGAGGCACGATTCCGCCAGCCTCCAGTGATGACTCAGCCCTTGGTGATGATTCAGCCCCGTGATGATTCAGTTTTCACTGACGCAAAACTGTTTCAGCACACATTTTATGTTCTTTTTAATGGTGTTCTAAATTGAGTCGGCCCCTGTCCAGAAGTCAGAGTTTACTACATAGTTAGAAGTCAAAGTTGACTGCATAGATCCTGGGCAAATGTTAAGACATCATATTTAATTTATACCTTGACTATGGTTTATCCCTCTGGCAGAATTTACTTGCCAAAGCTGAACGTGTCTATAAAATATGCAGGACCACGATTCTGCTGTGGGGACTTGCTATGGGTTTATAAACCAGTTCCCTGCATCTCTGAGTCAGCAGAGCATGTGGTTAAGAACTGTTGGTTTAGCACCAGCTAGTTAAGCTCAGATGTGTTCCTTTTGGCCTCCTGGTAAAAGGATAATCCTCTTTATGCTTTCAGTTGAGACATAGTTCCCTGTCTTCTGCATTTCCCCGTGTCCACCCTGGAGCACGGTTGGGTTTTGAGCTCTGGACTGGGATCTGTGGGTTATAGAGGAGCTCAGCTTTCCCAGCAATTGGTACCTTAAGTTCACAAGCAGGATCGTGTTCCCGTTCAGAAGTTTGTACAGTCGTTTCTGTCCCAGGGACAGGTCACAAGCGGTTTGCCCTCCAAAAGCCTCACAAAACTTTTGTTCTAGTACACTGCAGGTTTCCCTGTCTCAAATGCCAACCTGATTTGGGTGGTGACTCAGCAAAATAAAACACTGCATTAAGCATAAAGCAGTCGGTTTTCATGACATGAGGCAAATCTCATTATAGGGTGTTGCAGGGATGTCTCAGTGCTTTATTGCATTCAAATTATGTAATGCAATTTTAGGCAGAGAAATTGGATGCCTTCACTATCATATATACATATATAAATATGTAGAACTTACCTATGGGTATATTTGTATAGATAGTATATATGTATAAAGTTTACACTTATTAAAAAGTGTATGTATTTTGTGTGTGTGTGTATAAACTTTCTCTCTTATTTCTATATATCTTTTAATGGAGTTTGTTCCCTAACAGCTAGGCTACTTAACATCTTTTATTTTCTAAAATCTGTTTGAAAAGATAAAAATAATTAATGAGTAAGCAAGGGAAAGGACCCGTAAACCAAATCCGTTTCAGAAATAATTTAAATGATTTATGAGGATTTAAATGATTAAAAAAAGGATTTAAATGGTTTAAGAGGCTAGAGGCAGAAAGTAAGCTGCCTTTTTTTTTTTTTTTTTAGTTTTGCTATAAGGCGTGTGTACTCACCGGAGAGCGACAGAAAGAGAAAGGGAATGTGAGAAATTGCCCTCTAGGGGGTCGGCCATGCTGCAGTTCCTTCTCCTTCATTCTCTTCCCAGGATCTGGGGCATCCACGTACATACACTTGGCGTGACTCACAAGACGCCGTGTCCCGGACTCCAACTGTGGTGGACCGTGTGGGAATCCAGCGCCTTAATCCCCACCCACTTACTGGCTGCCATATTTCCTTTTTTTGTAAGGATACTAGTCATAGTGAATTAGGGACCATCCTACTCAGTATGACCTTACGTGAATTAATTATATGTACAATGATCCTGTTTCCAAATAAGGTCACAGTTTGAGGTACTTGGGGGTAAGGGCTTCAACATACACATTTTGGGGTCATACAGTGGAACCCATAAACTTCAGTCTACCCAGATTCCTGCTAGCTAGGGATGGGCCTATGGGCCTTCTTCCGATGTTTGGGAAGCCATTGCCTTTTCCAGGTAGCTGGTTGGACGCTAACCTCCGTTTTCACGTTCACAGGCTCGAGTCCTCTAATCGGTGTCATGGCGCCCTGATTCAGCCTTAATCCCAATCTCCTGGATCAGAATCTCTGAGGGTGGAAGTTTAGGAGTGTATTTTTAGCCAGCTCCCTGTTCTTGTTCAACTTGCTTTTTGGAGGCTTTGGGATGCAGTGATCCCCTCCAGCTGGTTCTCTATGCTGCAGGGTCCAGCTGTTACCACCTTCCTTCTGTAAGTAGCTGGTGTGTACTGATGAAGGCTGAAATACCCTTTGAAAACCAGATCTGTATTGCCTCGAGTGAAGGTCAAAAACCCAAAGATGCCACTGAGAATCGTGCATTTCCCTTTATTTGTATTAAAAGGATTTAACTAGTGAGTTTGGGGTGATTTTGTGTGGTTTCTTTCACCTCCTCCTTTGTCTCTTCACTCATTAGGAGCAGGCTCCAGCCATCCAGGTTCGTAGATTCTGTTGAATGGATGATGATGTTAATATGATTAATTGCAGCCATTGTAGCATTTATTAGCTATCAGAATCTCATGGCTTCCAAATCTAATGACACACTTACCTGATCCAGGACTTTGCAACAAATGTACAACAGCCTTTGGAACAAATGTAGCCTATCACCTATTTTTGTACAGCCTGTGAGCTAAGAATGTTTTAATATTCATTTAATAAAAGTGGCTAAAAAACTTCAAAAGAAGGACCAGCAGTTAGTGTAATGGCTATGTTACTGGACTCCCATATAGTTGACTGTGGTTCGAGTCTCGGACCTGGTGCCTTAAAACTCACACTGGGAGCGTGTGCGTGCGTGCCCAGGATCCTGAGAGGAGAATGGAGGAGAAGGGATTGTGGCGTGGCTATCCCCCCTGGGGGGTGATTTTCGCTTTCTGTCTCTCTGTCTCTGTCTGTCTGGCGAGCTCATGCGCCCTATGGCAAAAACCTCTGAAAAAAAAATTCAAAAGACTAATCTATGTCAAAATATATTCAAAATAATAGTGTTATGTGAATATATAAGAAACTTAAAATTTTAGTATCCACAGAAAGTTTTACCAGAACACAGCTGTGCTTATTTATGGATTATCTGTGGCTTCTTTTGTTCCGTAACGGTAGAGCTGTGTAGTGGCAGCAGAGACCCTCCAAGCTGATATTTACTGTCAGATCCTTTACAGAAAAGTTCGCCCATCTCTGTTTGAATCTGTATTGTTTTATGTGTTGTCTAGTAGGGGCCCTGTGAATGGCAAGGTCCTAGAGCGTTTAAGGGACCCGTGTCTCAGGACCTGGTTAGACATGGGGCCTTGGGTGTTCTGGTTAACTTCTATGGACCACTGCTTCTTTGTATTGAGAGAGAGAGGTGACCAGGAAACCATCTCCAGCTGCAAGATTCTTTGACTCTATGAAACACAGAGAAGAGAATACTCCAAATGGGGGGAAATAATTAAGAACACAGAGATTGGCTCCGGAATCCTCAGCGTCTGTTTGATTTTTGTGTCTAGAGTTCTTTTTGTAACCAAGATCTTTTTTCCCGCTGTAATACGTAAGTTAGAGAATTACCCTCCAGGACACACGCACGTAGGGCCTCAGATGAAAGCGTTCGTTGCTCACCAGCACCTCTGTTTTCGGGTCTGATTTATAGTGTCAGGTTGAAAAGGTGTGCGAGAGAAACAGCTGGAAGCTGAACTAGGCCTAAGTGGGACCATTTACAGAATGTAGATCCTCTCTTTTCAGAAAAGGGCCTCCATGACCTGAGTAATCCTAGGATTCTCTGTCCTATGGCGCTGAAAGACCTTGTTAGGCGAAGTGGATCTTAAGCCAGAGCAGTGTTCCTAGTTTTTACCAGTAAAGAAGATCAGGAGAAATACTTGGTAGCTTTGGATTGTAATAAGCTGAAAGTAAGAGTAATTGGAGAATTTGTCTCCCTGATCTTTGCAGTCTCTGAAGACATCTTGCTGAGTCATAGTACATAGGACTCATCCTTTTGAGTGGGTGCTGGGAAAGTAAGTTTCTAGTGGAACTTATTTAATTAATTTCTTTTTCTAGAAGGGATCCTGATTCCTGGCTTTGAGTAGGACACACCAGCTGTGGAATCATAAAGACGTAACATAATGAGTTTAATTCTCTCAGAAGAGACGTCTTTTTTCCTCTTGCATATGATTAGATAAACTGGGAATGGTTATCCCAGAAGTTGTGTTTCTGGGATATGGAATAGCATGTTTTGGTTATTTTTTTTTCGATTTTTCTTTTCCATCTGAACTGTTATAGAACAAGAAGAGGTATTCACAAGAGTTTAAAGACAGCTTTTGCCATCTATAAATGGCATCTTCCTCATGCCGAAGGAAGCGGTGTACGTTGATATCTCCCAGTCAGGCTCTAGGAGCCACGTTTAAGTTTGATTTCTAAGTCCTTGAAAGCCATTGACCTGTTGCTTTTGAGTTCCATTCACTACTAAAAGGCCACGCCATCAGGGTGAGGGAAGTGAAATTCAAAATTTAGTGGGCTTGGAAAGACGCGTATCTATAATCAGCTTGAGGGCTCAGTGGATTTGCGAAATGGGTTTGGATTAACAGCCATTGATTGCTAATAAAACAATATTTAGCTTTGTCCAGAGAATAGCAATGGAGGAAGGTATGGCACCTTGTCAACAGGGTCCATTGAGCAGGGCTGATGGGCTAAGTGTGGGGGCCCCTGCAGCAGCGTGGGTGCTCGTCCCTCAAGGAGCGGTTGTCAGTTGTTAACGAGGCCGGTGAAAGGAAGGACGCCAGAGTCTGATGGCTGGGGTGGTATTGATGTGCCTTCGCTGACTAATCAGATTGAGAAAGTCCCATGGTATTTATGTCACTTTAATTTTCATCAAACAATTGGAGACGACGGCACTCTATTAAAGAGAGGTTGATCCAGAACTAAAGCCAAATAAATTAGGGTCTCAGTTTAATCAAATTATCCCTTTACTGGCCCTGGATTAAGTGAGAGAGACAGCGTCGGTATAGAGACTTGTGATTGGTTGAATCTTTCCCTTATTTTTAAAGGAGCTGATGAAAGAAAAGGCAATTCAGCAGACAGAACTGGAACAATCCATCCAAACAATCATGCCAAACCAACGATAACAAAAAAAAACCCTAGAACTTATTTCACTAGTCAACTATGTAATTTATTGTGAATAATAAACCTGTTACTAAATTAGAGTTCTGGGGGATCCAGTGACTGGAAGAGATAGACACGGAAGAGAAATTCCGTGGTTTAGAATTTTTCTGTGTAGTTTTGGGTGGTTTCTCTTGGCACGTTTTCAGACATCTAAAAATCTCAATTTGAAGAATGGCTCTGAGAATCACCTCTCTCTCTCTCACGGTGTGCTGAGAATTAAAATTGGCTTGCGTCACACTGCTTTTATAAAAGCGACGACATGTATTTGAATGAGCGTGTGGGACAGGTGACCGGTTTGTTGTTGAGGATTGACTGGCAGAGTATACAACGCAGGAGGAGATTGTCCTGATTTGTGGGCAGAGAGATACGTTTGTGTTACCTCAAGTTAAGGCAGAAAAATAGCATTGTCCTGCATAATGGATACAGTGAAAAATGTCCTTATGACTGGGGAGAAAGGAGGGTGAAGGAGGCTTTTAGGGTGCTGATAATGTTCAGTTTCTTGATCTGGGAACTGCTTGCCAAGAATGTTCAGTTTATGAAAATTCATATTACAAAACGCTTCCCGTTTTTGGTGACATACTTCAGTACAAAGTTAGAACTATCTGCTTGGGCATGTTTTAAAATGAAATGCCATGTCTGTGTCCTATTGCTGCTGTACTAAATACCCTCAGACTTGGTGGTTTAAAACAGGGAACAACACCGTGGTGCAGGAGTCATGCTCTGCTCTAGGGAAGCCAGATCCCACATGGCAGCTGCGGTCCAGATACCTGGCCAGGGCAGCCGGAAACACCCTGGGGATATGTGCAAGGGCCCAAGACCTGATAGGCTGGACGCCTGGAGGAAGGAGATTGCTGTGTGACCAGACCTCGGGGAGAGCGTGCCGAGCAACTGGTGAAGACCATCTTACTGCCCCACCACACGGCAGAGGGCGGGAGCCAGCAGAGCAGAGCATGTCTGTCTCATTCCCTCTCCTTTCTAATCCGCCAGGACTCAATATGGGGGCCCCAGCTCCATCTCTCATATGCGCACATGCACACACGTTTTATCTTATCATGAGTTACGGAAAACATTTTAAAGAATTTAAAACAATGCACATCGATTATTTTAGAGTTTTACAGGTTAGAAGTCTGGGGTTCACTGAGATTAATCAAGGTGTTGACAGGGTTATTTTCCCTTCTGGAGGCTGTAGGGAGGAGTCCATTTCTTTACAGTTTCCAGCTTCTTGATGCCGCCTGCTGCCCGCGGCTCATGGTCTCTTTCCTCCATCTGCTAGACCAGCACTGTGGGAATTGAACCCTGTTTGCATGGCATAAGTCTAACCTCCTCGTCTCTTCCACTTCTGAGGACCCTTGTGATTACGTTGGGTCAACCTGGATAATCTAGAATCATCTCTCTAGGTCAGCTCCCTTAATTCTATCCACAAATTTAATTCTTCTTTGCCATGTCACCTACATTCACAGAGACAGAAATTGGGATGTGGTCTGGGACATGGACATCTTTGAGGGGGCCCTGTGGTTTGAATATATCTCCCCCAAAAGTCATATGTTGGATTTCATTTATATTGGAGGTACAGGAAGGTGAGGCCTTTGGGACATGAATAGGCATCTGAGTGGGGCTCCCATGTTGAGTCCTGGCAGATTAGAAAGGAGAGCGAATGAGACAGACATGCTCTGCCCTGCAGGCTCCCACCCTCTGCCATGTGGTGGGACAACATGGCTTTCACCAGTTGCTGGTGCCATGCTCTTGGACTTCTCAGTCTCTAAGACCTTGAGCTAAATATTTCCTCCTAAATTGCCCAGACTCGGGTGTTTCTCTTATCAGCAACAGAATAGCCTAGAGCTAGGGGCCGTTTTTCTGCTGACCACAGTTATGGAGTAGTCACTTTCGGCAGTTAGAGAGACTGAGATAAGAACATGGGTGCAGTGGGAGAGCACTGCTCAGGGGTCAGGCATCTACTCTGCCCTCTCGTCTCACTTCTTTGCGGCTCTTTCCTCTCCTGGACCTCTTTTCAGGTAATGAGGGCATTGGATGTGGTGCTCCCTAAGGTCCTTTTTAATGTTCTATGAAAGGTACATATCACCCTACCAGATAGAACATTTAGAATCAATTACTGCAGAGAAAACTTCTAATTACAAAACGATCTAGCCTGGGATAGTAATTTAATCTTGACATCTGGAATCTCCCTCCCTGTAAGACCTCATTGCATGGGACCAGCAGGTGGTGTGGTGGTTAAGGCGCTGGGCACTCCCACATGGCCAAACAGGGTTCAAGTCCTGAATCTGGTGGCTTGCTTTCTCACTTCCTCTCTCTCTCACTCCCACCCTCTGTCTTGGCTCCCCTTTGGAAAAAAAAAAAAAAAAAAAAAAAGAATGAATAAATAAAATAAATAAATTAATTAAAAAAAAGACTTCATTGCATAATTTTGGGTACCGATGACATTATGACATTCAGTGACAGTAGACTTGAGACTTTTCTTCAGTTTCTTGAGTTTGAGATTATCAGAATTTTTTTTTAAGTTCTTTTATGCCTTAGGGTACATGCACTCTCTAGAGAGAGAGAGAGACAGAATCAGTGAGAGAAAAAGTGAGAAATCACCCCTCCCAGGGGGGATGGTCATGCCACAGGTCCCTTCCCTATCCTCCTCCCGGGATCTTGGGCATGTGTGTGCATGCCCACCAGAAGTGAATTTTAAGCCACCAGGTCTAGAACACAAACTGTGGTTGGCCGTGTTGGAGTTGAGCGATGTAACTGCTAGGACATCTGGTCCTGAGAAGGCAAGAATTTATGGTGATCCCAAGAAGCTGTTACTAAGGGTAATGACATTTAGGTCCTGGAGATGAGTCTATGTCCTGTAGTCATGTCATCCTCTCCCTGTCCCCTTTGCTTGTCACTTTGTGTCTCTCTATTTCCGATGGGTTTGCCTTGCCTTCACTTTCACTGGACTTGTATTCGTTCATATTCATATATTTTCGGAGTACCTACCTTGTGCTGGGCATGTGCTGACGCTGAGATGTCCACTAAGAAGAGAGACCCAATCGCTACCCTCACTGGACTGAATCTAGACTAGGAGTCCCCGAAGGTTTGTGATGAAACACCCATCAGTAAAACCTTCACGGATGCGTCCCTCACTGATTGCGAAGCATACGCCAAACCTGGAAATTAAATACTTTTCATAATGCTGGGGGGTGTCCTCAGCCATACTTTGAGAACCCACAATGTTAGAGGTGACACAGAAAACACAGAGAAAGCAGAGAGAAGTTTTATGAAGTTATTAAAAGACAAACGTGCGCCTGAAAGCAGTTTCCCAGCACAACGTTACTGTGCGCTTTGCTCCTTGCGGCTTTGCTTGGTGTCTGCATTTTGTTGTCATTGTCCTTGGTTGTTCATTGCGGTCTGGCCTCGCTGTGAAAGCTGCTATGTCTGTCCAGGCGACCATATTTGGAGACTTTCCCAGGGTCTAAGTCTGAATTTCACGTATGATTGGATGTTTGCTTGCTTGCTGTCTTTATTTATTTATTTAAAGTTCCCTATTCCCCCCAGGCCTCCCAGCCTGCCACCCGACCCATGTAGTAATCTTTAAGATGAACTTGCAACTTTTGGGAAATAACTCACCTCCTTCTCCCCCTCAGGAGGGATTTGTTCGTGTCGACCGAGATTACGTGCTGAAGTCTGCAGAGCTGGCAAAAGCTGGAGGGTGCAAGCATTTCAACCTGCTGTCCTCTAAGGGAGCTGATAAGTCAAGCAGCTTTTTATATCTTCAAGTCAAGGTTTGTGCATGGATCTATCTTCCGTTCACGTTGGCGTGCCCTGGCTAATTAGTAGTACTAAATAATACAAAGTATTCTATGATGCAAAAGAGCTTTAACTGCATTTTACTGTGCATTTAAAAAAAATAGTTACAGGGATTGTTTTTGCAGGAATATGTTTAGTAACTGATTTGAAAGATGATTTCCATAGGACGGGCGCCACCATGCCCGGAAAGATCATCTCCCATGTCGTCTTCCCTGCTTACCTTTCTCAGTAATCAGTGAAATGAGATGCTGCTTTGGCCCTGAACGTCCGCATGGCATCTGGGCATTGGAAGAGACCATGAGGCAGTGCTGCTTACATTTTTCCTTCAGTGTCCCTAATGGCTGAGAGGAAGGTGCTTTTAGTCCTCTGGGTATTTGGGGACATCTAGCCTGAAGCAAGCTGCTAGTTTCAAGCCTTAAAAGTCTCGTGTTTTATCTTTTAAAAATGTATGCTTATATTGCTGTTTTCAATACTGTACATATCCTTGTTTATTTTAAATGTTAAAGGTTTCCATTTACTGGGGCTATGGGGCGTGGTGGTTATGGCGCTGGATTTCCACATGGCCAGTCATAGTTTGAGTCCTGGACTTGGCGGCTTGCTTTCTCACTTTCCCTCTCTCTGGTCAAATTAAAACATGATAATAATAAAATTAAATGAATAATTCTTTTTTATAAAGAGAACTATTTATTTTATTTTATTTATTTTAAATTTGACCAGAGAGAAACAGAGTAAGAGAATGAGGGGGTGGCGGGGAAATGAGAGCAAGCAAGCCTTTAGCCCAGGGATTCAAACCGCAGTCGACCATGTGGGAGTCCAGTGCCTCAACCATTACATCACCTGCCAGCCCCAAAGGACTAATTCATGTTTAAAAAAAAAAGTTTCCATTTAGCAACCTACAAGCTAAATCAGTGCTGCAAGAGGATAAGCTGTGGCTTTGTCTCATGTACCTCCTGCTATACCCCAAGTGCCCGTAGTTTAAGAAGCAGGGACTGAGAGAGAGGCCAGGCGGCTGAAGACTTTTTCAGTGTGAAATCAGTTTACAGAAGTTTGCCTCGCTTCTGCTTAACGATCTCCACCCCGAGGGAGGTGACTGCCTCATTATCCAGCCCTTGCTGTGTCTGGTCACATGCGGTTGCCATGACCACTACACCTGGAGGTGGAATCTACTGCAGCCTTAGTGCTTGTCATTTTCATGTCTTCCTTTTAAAACAACAAACGCGTGTCTAGTCCTTATTTTGCAGTAGTCTATACGATATTTGCAGATTCTGGTTGTCATAACTGTTTTTCCAGGCATAAGATCTTTAAGTTCTCACACCTTTTTTTTTTTTTTTTTTAAAGTTTACTCATTTTCTTTTCTTCCTAAAAGAGAGAGAGGGAGAGAGAAGCACCCCCTACAGGGTCTCATCACGCAGAGACAGCATGCTTGCTAGTAGAGACAAAGTCATCTTTGTTAAAAGTTAAGGAATGTACGGGGCCGGCAGGTAGTATAGTGGTTAAGGGCGCTGGACTCCCACATGGCCAACTGCAGTTCAAGTCCTGGACCTGGCAGCTTGCTTTCTCACTTTCTCTCTCTCTCTCTCTGTCTCTCTCTGGTTAAATTAAAATAAATAAAGAAATAAGTACATAAATAAAGATAAATAAAATAATTCTATTTTTTAAAAAATGCTAAGAAATGTATGTCCACATAAAAACTTGTATACAAATGTTCATAGCAGCATTATTTACAAAAAAGAGTGGAAACAACCCAAATATACATTATCTGATGAATGAATGAGTAAAGTATGATATATGTGTACCATGGAATATTACTCAGTAGGAAAAGAAAGAATTCATTCTACAACAAGGGTGAACTTTGAAAACATTATGCTATGTGAGAGAGGCCAGTCACAAAAGGCCACAAATTATATAATTCCATTTATGTGAAATGCCCGTAATAGGCAGATGTATAGAGACAGAAAGAAGATTAGTGATTGCCTAGGGCCTGGGGGAAGGGTTAGGAAGTGAGTGTAGTGATGTGAGCTTTTTCTTTCAGGTGATGAAATGTTTCAACTTAAATTGTGCTGAAGGTTGTATAACTGTGTATATACTAAATACCTCTGATTTAAAAAAAAAAAAAAAAAAAAAGGGCAGTTAAAAATAGCTACCTCTGGGACCAGCAGGTGGCAGAGAGTCTCAGACCTGTTGGCTTCATATGGGAAGAGAAGACAAGAGCATTCTCAGATAAGCCAAACTTGAAGAAATTTACCGACACCAGGCCAGTTCTCCAAGAAATTCTGACAAGAGTGCTATCCCAGGAAAACTAAAGTCAGACACACAGAAATAAGAATTCTAAAACAGCTAAGAAAATGGCCAGCTTAATGGTAGGGGCAACTCCAGAGTGGAACGTTATCTTCCAGAATGTAAACGGAAAGATCGGACCACAACAGAAGATAGATTAAGTACGTGAGTCTGACTGGTGAAATAGCATTTTATGACTAAAGCATTACTGATCACCTTCTATGCTTTGTTTTCCAGAGTTAAGGATTTTGTCTTCTCTTGAGTTGTGGACAGGTCCATGTACCTGCGATTTGAACAGAATCCTAACCTGTTTCCTGGCTTTAAGTCTTAAGCAAAGTTCTCTTAACATTTTTTGATTTTGATTTTTAAAGCTAAAACTGTCTTTCTTGAAATTAAAAAATATATTAAAAATACCTATTTAATGACCACAGTAAGCTATATAGCCTCAGCTAGGTGCTGCTTTATAGTACATTCATTCTACTCAGTTTCATGCCTAAAGTCAATATGTATTCACATATAAGTATATATCAGCTGAACTTGCTATTGAAAGTAGTTAGATTAATTAAGATATTCTGTGAATCAATAAAATGTGGTAAAAAGTAAAAAAGGAATGAAAAGCAACTGTAGATGTCAGAGACCGTGTGGGAGTAGGGTGGAAAATGGCAGAGGGTGGAAAATAGGGGAAAAATATACAAGAAACAAGAAATGGAAAAATATTTCTGATGATAGCATGTAAGATTAAGCCACTATGCAGTGTATTCTCGATGGGAAACTGCATTTTGTAAGCTGTGATGATGTTCAGTGAAAGAATGTTAAAAAAGAAATCACACCAGGTGTGTGTGCATGTGTGCCCAAGATCCCAGGAGAATGGCAAAGGGATTGAGGTGTGGCCAGGGATGAGTTCTCGCTTCCTATCCTTCTGTCTCTCTCTCTCTCTCTCTCTGGCGAGCACAGGAGCCCTATTAAAAAAAAATGTAGGTACCTAAGATTAGATGATGTACCAAGTGACAGGTAAGTAATATTCAGGCCGAGGAGGAAGACATTTGCCTAGTGACTGTTAACTCACAAGGCTTTTGGAGGTGCATGTGGTCTGGACCCTTTGGCATTTCTGCATACTCAGATGTGTGGCATGCAGATTTATAATTTGTTTAACTAATTTAAGTCATCATCTATATGTAATCTCACTGTCCCTTGAGATTTTATAGCGTTCGTTGAAAAGTGAGTAATAAAGAGGGTCAGTGGTTTTTCTGACCCACTGGAATTTACCGACACCAGCAAAGGTTAATATCTGCTAGCTTCCAACATTACTGCTAAGGGGGAGATGTTCTTTTCTGGTTGAACTAACATATATTTTACCCTCTCCAGAACTATTTTTTAAAGGAATTGTTTATTTAATTGTATTTATTATTTTTCTAAAGAATTATTTGACTTTATTTATTTTAATTTGACCAGAGAGGGACAGAGTGAGAGAGAAAGCTGCCAGGTCTGGGACTTGAATTGTGTTCGGCCATGTGGGAGTCCAGCACCCTTAACCCCCATGCCACCTATCAGCACCTATTTGTGATTATTATTATTATTTCTTTAATTTGCTGTAGGACATGTGTGTTCACTAGAGAGAGAAAGGAAAAGTAAGAAGGCAAGCCACTAGGTCTGGGACTCAAACTGCAGTTGGTTGTGTGGAAGTCCAGCGCCTTAACCACTGTACCGCCTTCTGGCCCCTGGAACTATTCTAATACCAGTAAATGAGAGGACTGTACTGCCACAACCTCACTCAGTATATATGTTTTTAACTGTACTACATATCAGGATTAAATTATCTTATTTTTATTTTTAGAGAGTTTTTCTGCTATAGGGCACGTGTGCGCACCTGAGAGACAGAGGCAGAAAGCAAGAAATCACCCTTCCAGGTGGATGGCCATGCCACAGTGCCTTCTCCCCCATTCTCCTCTTGGGGTTTTGGGCATGAACACACATGTGCCCGGTGTGAGTTTTAAGTGGCTGGGTCTGGGACTTGAACGTGATTGGGAGTACATGGGAGTACAGAGACAGCCATTATGCAATCTGCTGGTTATAATTATTATTATTTTTTAAGCCTCTCAGACTCTTTGGCATTCTAAATCAGGATAACAATTCTAAATAAGGTTGTTTATGAGTATTGAGAATTACAGAAGCAGATTATCTTCAAAACCCCAATTATTCTCTCTTAAACTTTACATAAGTGAGTCAATCTTGATTAAATACTTAAAATGTGTGTGTGTGTGTGTTTGTTTGTTTCTAATCAGGGAGAAGTAGAAGCCAGGATTGAGGAATTAAAATTTGATCGTTACTCCATATTTAGACCTGGGTAAGTATTCTTGCTACCTGAGAGTACACCACTGTTGGTTAGTCCCTAGAAGCTAGTTTTTCATTTGGAGAGGATGACAATGAAGATATCTAAGATATTAAAGTTGGTTGGAGGTGGGTTACTTTTCTGAAGGGCCCACCTTTCAGTTTTGAAGGAAAGGGTAGACAGTGGCTTCAGAATAGTCTGGAATTTCCTGGTAGCATTTGTTGCCTTCTCTTTAAAAAATCCTCCTCCCGCAGTAAATAAAACCCACTACCGATAGTCTGCTTGGGCTACTGTAACGGAATACCTAAAAAACAGCTTCATTTGCTCACAGTGTGGAGATCAGAATTCCGAGATCCAGGTGCCGTCGGGGTTGGTATCTGATCAGGTCACTCTTCCTGACTGGGAGATGGTCATCTTCTTGCCCTGTCCTCACATGGCCTTCCGTGTGTATACAGAGATCTCTCGTGTCTCTTTCTCGTAAGAAATCCTATTGGATTAGTCCTATCCCCCCCCTTCAGACATCATTTAACCTTAGTTACCCACTAATGGCCCTATCTACAAATACAGTTACAGTCAGGGGTCAGGGCTTCCACATACGAATTTCAAGTGGACTCAGTTGAGTCCGCAATATCCTTTGTAATCCATGTGTAATGTACACTCTCTCTTCCTCTGCTTTTCTTTTGCTCTTCAGAGTTCTATTATGTGATAGGCAAGAATCTCGCCCAGGTGAATGGCTCATTAGGAAGTTCTTTAGCTCCATACCAGACTCTTGGGCCAGTGGACACTCTGTGCCCGTGGTGACTGTGGTCAGAGCCATGCTGAACAACGCAGTGAAGCCAAGCAACGAGAAGATGGAGCTTCTGGAGAACAAGGCCATCCACGACCTGGGGAAAGCAGACGGCTCTCTCAAGCCATGACCACACTGGAGAAATGCTTTTTATTGTAAACCTCAACACCCACCCCGAGCCGGTAATTCCAGGGCCTGCAGGGTGCAGCATGCATTCATTCTGTAGCTTACTCTTCTCAGGCAGCTTGATCCAGTTAAACTTGGCTGTACTCTGTATCGGTGGTTCAGAACCTTTCTTAGAGCCCTTTTCGAAAGCTTTTGAAAGACAGAGATTTGTAGGCTTTATCTCAAACATCTGAGTCAAAATTTTGGGGATGTGGGCATAAGAACCTGTACTTCTCTTTTGTTTACCTTTCCTGGAGATTGTAAGGCTGCTGTTGGGAAGCGAGCTTTGAAGCAGTTGTCTGCAGTCCCAGCAGCCTCACCGCAGTCCCTGACCACGTACCATGCAGATGAGCTCTGCTGACATTCAGGTCTGAGTTACATGTAATTGCATAAGTGAGCAGTGTGCCTTACATATAATAAAAAGTACTACACAACTAAGCGGGTATAATTCTTAGGGAGAATTAAATAGAGGAATAAAAAGAAACGGACGCATCCCGGTGCCTTTTTGACTGTCTGGAAGTGCTCAAGCGCAGTGGTGGTAACGCCGCATGTCGGCCAGTGGGGTGAAATAAAAGCAGCTACCGTTTATCAAGTGCTTCTTATGTGCCCGGCTTTACATGTTTATCTGTGCTTTAACCCTTCAGACCGTTTTTCTAACTCTCCTTGTTCTTGTATCTTAGATGGGAACATGGAGGCTTACTGGTTAAAAGCCTTCCTGAAGGATTCAGAGCTGAGCACCTGAGGCTAAGAAATGGGATTCTTTCTGACCCAGGTCAGCGTAATCTTACAGTCTGTATGTCCACCGCTCGACAAGAGCACCCTCTGTCTGTGTATTTCCAAGTAGCTCCAGTTCATTGTTAGTGTATGTTACATAGGAATAAAATTGAAATATTTGGGTTTCTTCATTGGTCTAGGGACCTTAGCCAGTAAAACTAAGTGGCACTGGGGGACCAGCAGATGGCATAATGGTTACATTGCTGGACTCTACATGGTCGACTGTGGTTCGAATCCCAGACCTGCGGTTTAAAACTCATGCCAGGCACATAGATGAGCATGCCCAAAATCCCAAGAGGAGAATGGAGAAGGGATTACCGCATAGCCAACCTCCTGGAGGGTGATTTCTCACTTTCTGTCTCTCGTCTCTTTATTTCTCCAGCAAGCACACATGCCTTATAACAAAAATCTCTCTGGAAAAAAAAAAAAATCAATGACACTGGGACCAGCAGGTGGTGTGGTCGTTAAGGACCTGGATTCACAGGTTGAGTTCCAGACCTGGCAGCTTGAAAATTACTCTGGGGATGTGTGCATGCATGCCCAAAATCCCAAATATTTTTAGAGAAAAATGGAGGAGAAGGGATTGCAGAGTGACTATCTCCCCAGGAGTGATTTCTCACTTTCCCCCTCTCTCTGCCTCTGTTTCTGTCCAACAAGGCCATTCCATTCAACAAGGGACCCATATACAAGTCATGTTTCCCTTAATGACAAGATTACCTATTTTTTTTTTTTTTGAGAGGTTTTTTGCTATAGGACGCATGCGCTTGCCAGAAAGGCAGAGACAGAGAGACAGAAAGCAAGAAATCACCCCCCAGGGGGGATGGCTATGCTGCAATCCTTTCTCCTCCATTCTCCTCTCGGGATCTTAGGCACGCCCGCACACTCGCCTGGCATGAGTTTAAGCCACTGGGTCCAGGACTCAAACCGTGGTCGACTACATGGGAGTCCAGCGACATAGCCATTACGCTAAGTGCTGGTCCCACAAGATTACCTTTTAAGAAGCTCCTTGCTGTGCAAGCGTCAAAGTGTACATACTTAGACCTGCTCGCGATGGCCGACCACACACTGACGCTGCGAGGTACAGCCTACATGCTCCTGTGGGACCACCGCCACGTGGTCTCACTGACCGAAGCCCTGGTATACTGTCCATGAGGGGATCAGACATCCTAATGTCAGTCACCCAGAAAAGAGCCATTTTCTAGGCAGGGTCTTGGAATGTGACCTTTAGGACAGAGATGGCATATCTTCCTCCTGCCAGGAGGGGTGCCCTCTGGGTCAGACTTGGAGACTCTTAGTGTGTTTTCATGGTGACAAGCATGGGCTCCAGGAAGTGAGGCAGCCCCTTCCGGGAGGGTATCCCTTAAGCATTCACTGAGGCCTTGGACTCGGTCTGATCCAGAGGCCTATTCAAAGTTACCTATACTATTTCCTTACCTACAAACCTTCAGGCAGGTCTTGTTCAGCTTTCTGTGCTGGTCTTGAGAGGGAAGTGGAACGATGGGGAAGGGTCTGTGTTATCTTTGGAGTACAGAGAAAAGCAGTCCCTCACAATCCCGGCACTGTGGTGGGAGAGGACCTTCAAGGGGCATAATTCTGGCCGTCTCCCCTTCAGAACAGGTGGTGGTATACTTCTTTTACTGTCAACATTGAGTAATTGTTACTAAAGGATACAGCAAGTTTGGAAACCCCCAAATGTTACAGATGGAGAGAGCGTATGTTGGGAGAATGAAGGCCAGTATGGGATGGGCCCAGGTAAGGAAGGTTTTTAAATGCGTTAGTTCATTGAGGAAATGCTTATTGAAAGCCTCCTCTGTGGCACTGCACACACAGGCACTGGGGACACATCAGTGACAACAGGCCTAACTCCAGGGAGCCAGCATATGTACTAGTAATGTCCTAGAATGGAAGGGGACTTCAAAACTAGTATTTGATGGTTCTGTTATCTAGGTGTCTGCAGTTAAGGGAAGAGTTCATTGAGTAGTTTAGGACTAACTAAACACTTTATTTTCACTTAGTAAATTTGTCATGTATCTGCTGTGAGCTAGGCCATATGTTACGTACTGAGAAATGAAAATAAAGAAACATAGCTCTTACCCTTATGGTTCAGGGCTATGGGTAAGACCAAGAATGAAAAAAAACTAAGAAATCAAATCATAGATGCTAAGGAACAAACTATAACGAGGTGCTCCAGGACTGACCATGGAAACGATTTTAGAAATGGCCAGAGGAAAGTCTTTCTGGTGGAGATCAAAAGGAAGACCTACTTAATTGTGAGGCATTCAATTATTGACAGCTAATAAAAGAGCTGGGGGTGGGACCCAGGACCCAGGGTTGGGTTGAAATGATGGGATTCTGCAGGGCCTAAGCGGCCATTGTAGTCAGACGTGTCCCAAGCATAGCTAGCAGCTGGGACTAGGGCTTGGCATGCTACCTACTGAAATCCTGCTGCCCACTTCCGCCTAAAATAATTCTGTGGTTTGAGTACATATTAGAGAAGGAAGATAAGGGGTGGCACAAAGCAGGGGGAAGTTCCTGTTCTCCCATAACAGCCAGAATGTTGCTCTCCAACACATCTGCCAGCTTCGCTTCCATGCTTAAACGGTTTAACTGTTTCCTATCCTTTCCATTTATATCTAACACATTAAATGTATTCATTCATTTTGTTCTTATTGTATCCCTGAGGCTAGGGGATTCATCCTCACTTTGTAGACTAGGAAACGAGGCAGAGAGACTTCAGGTAACTTGCTCAAGATCTGTACAGCAGTGAGTCACGAAGTGACAAGTATGATTCAAACCCAGCTGGCTCTAGAGTCCATACTCTCACTTAGCCACTTTAAACATCAAAGTCCCACCAGTGTGATGGCGAACTGCTGCGCTGGAGGTCAGAGGGCTGACAGCCTGTTTGCATCCCCAGATGTTCCTGAAAACGGCCCCCAGGTGTGTAGGGGAGCTTAAGGTCCTTGCCAGCTGGAGGGCCTGAGAAGGGACTTCGCCCAACCAGAGCCTACCAGAGGGTGCTTTTCTCCCTAATACGAATAAAATAAAAACATAGAATCCTTGTTTGCTTTGGTCGTGCTCCATCTGGTTTCTTTAATACAACTGCCGTGGCTCATGCGGCGGTTCCCTCTCCCACTGCATCCCGCGGGGACCGGAGTCGCGCCCCAGGTCCCTGCCTGCGCTCGCCTCCTCCCGCCACCAGAGGGCGCCGCGGCCGGTCGCTCCTCCATGAACTGTGCATTCCCAAGAAAGGCATGCAGAGGAACACGAGGCCTCTGCAGAGCCGCCGCGGTGTCTCTGCCTCTGGGTTCCGGGCAAGGGCCAGGCTCTCCGGCTCCAGTTCGCTGCAGTCTGAGAGACAAAAGCCACCGACAAACCTGGGACACCCAACCCTAGCTACAACGCTTCCCGGCACGCACTGCGGCAGCCCTGCGGCAGGAGGAGGTGGAGCTCCGGCTCGCCCCGCCCACACCCACGTGACCGTCCTCTCGGTCACGGGGCCGGAAGCGCTCGGGAGCCGGAGCGCGCCCTCGCGTTTCTAGCGTCCGCGGAGCTCCGCGAAGTCCCCGCTGCGCGCTCGCGCTTCCGCTCGCGCTCGTTCCCGTCCGGCCCGAGAGCGGGGTGGCGGCTGCGCGCGCTCGCTGCCCAGCCGGGTCCCGCCCCCAGCACGCGGGGCTCCAGGGCAGCATGGCCATGTGCTCGTTGGCGTCAGGCGCTGCCGGTGGGTACCCTGGCCCTGCAGCGCCGGGCTCGCCGCCGTGGGGCTGGGCAAG